TTTTTTTTTTTTTTTTGAAGTTAGGCAAGAATCCGTTGTTTGCATACTATAAGCTGCATAAAATTCTGGATGGAACTGGAATCCTTCCCAAAATAGCTAATAGCTTTAACGAATTAATTACTTGCTCAACAGCACATCACTAAGAAAGTTAATACCGGTAAAGGCGGAGGAAAATAACAAACAACCATAAAACAAGCAAAAAAGGTAGCTGTTTTTAGCGATATGAATAAAGCGATACAACACTCATTCGTCGACTGTTTTTGAAAATTTTATATGTGCCAAGTGGGTATGACACTTTGGTCGATGGTAGCTTTCTTATAACGAAAGTTCCTAACTTTTTCCGAAAAAAGGAAGAAGCTGAAACTTCTACCAAGCATACTTGAAAAACGTAAAATGTTTCTTAGGAAAATTTCTTTTGGAAGTTTTGTTTCTTGAAGTATTATCATACAGCGTTTTGTCCATACACCCTTCAACTATGAAAGTTCTATGTTTATTTTTTGCTTCGCTCCTTTACATCCAGCCAAAAAACTGCAATGTACTGAAATGCGCAAACAAAATATTTTCTGTAAAACTTCAGACAACTGATGCTTTGATTCCACTCTTCCGAAAAATATTTGGTAAATTCTTCTAAAAAATAAAAATAAAAGTAAAAAAAATTAATTTTTCAACTGTCAATATGGACAAAAATATCGTAATTACACGTCAACTGCAAAAACTGTTATCCCTTCACCTGTAGATTCACAAACCTATTGCATCTAAAGTTCGGTAGCATGAAAAACGGCATCAGACGCCTGAGCTATTTACGATATGCGTTCAGTTACATGGGTTTTTGGATCAAGTTTCACTACTGAGATATTAAACAAAAAAAAAAAAAATTTGTAAAACTAATAAAGGTTTACCTTAAGTTCCTTATCTTCAACATCATGACTTCTCCAGCCTCCAACAATATTATCTGCCATGATCAACCCGGACACTAACAATAGGGCTGTTGTAAGACGAAACAATTGGACACACATCTATGATCAGTGGCAAAAGGCGGTACAAGAGCAGTGCTGAAATTGCATAAACACACTACTAAAGGGATTGAGACACACAAAAACATCACACACACACCGATACACACACATACACACACCGATACGTACGACGTGAGTCAGCAGTCTGCGACGCCGTTTATTTTTGTTTTGTTTTCCGAAGGGTAGTGTTCGGTCTACGGAGCTGACGTCGCCTATATATGAGGCGTAAACGATTAGCCAGTGCTTTGGTGGTTGTTCATTCAGTTTGCTGTTTTTTTTGATAATTTGCAGATTCATTGAATCGATCAATAATAGCACTAACGATAGTGTACGACAACAAATAACCGGCTTTTGATTGTTTTTCTAATATTTAACTCTTCTTTTTGCAAAAAAAAAAAACTTTGCTTCAAATGACATCATATGAGGAGAGAGGAAAACGCAGATAATTTAGTGAAAGCAAATAAACAATCTATAAATGAGAACTGTTGTAAAAGCAATTCAACTGGTGTTGTTGTTACTCGTAGAAAATTTGCTTCAAAAAAATTTTTTTTTTGGGCCGCGATTTTTGTAGGAAATTATCTATTCGAAAATATCAAAACTGTGAGCGATGAGAATGAGAGAAAATAATTTTTTTTGTTTTAATTTTTATTAACACTAAAAATGTTTTTTTTTTTTTTTTTTGGTTGCTGGAGAGTGGCTTTTTTCTGCTCCATTTACAGCAAATTTTAAAACAAGATTTCCGCGGTGAAATGAAATTACCAGTAAGTATCCTGACTGTTATATCAACGTTACCGCACTGTTATTGAATATGCATTGTAATTGAATTTAAAGTTGTATAAGTTTTTTTTTCACATGAAAAGGTTTGTATGAACATAGATTTTTTTTTAACAACAAAAATTGATAGATTTCAGCTGTTACTTATACATCCTGTGTGATAATTTAAAAAGCTTCCATTTCGTTCCGTTCATTTGATCACATAGAG